TCCTAGCCTTGGCGGATTACTGGAGGCAACAAAAAGTCAAAAAAAAAGTCGAAAAACAGTCAATTCTGCTCGCGACTCTGGGGCCGGACAGGGCTGGGTACTTGGGACTCTGGGGTGGCTACCAGGGCCACCAGGGACAGGGCTGGCTTGGGGCTGAAGAGACCCTGGGACAGTGGCTGGGGCTGGGTAGGGGTCCTGCGACTCTGGGGTAGGGGGTTGGGGCTGGAAAAGGTGAAAGTTGAACAACCAAAAAGGTTCTAGAATTTTTAATAGACTGAAAGCCATAAGCCATAAGCAAAAAGGCTGCAATTTGCCTTGGCTGACTTATGAGCTTGTTACTAGTTTAGTTCAATGTTGTTGTCCTCTTTGCCTGTGTTTTCCATATATATATATATGCCGGCTTTCTTTTGCTCCTGAGTCGCTTGACTGGACATTTTTGTTTCTTTTTATTTATTTTTGATTTTTTTTGTTTTTTTTGACTTTTTCTTTTCAATTTGATTTTTTTGACTTTGACTTTTCCAGTTGACTTTTTTTGACTGTTTTTTAAATCAAGGATTCTGGCCTTACCATATGAAAGTTTTTTATAAGTAGAGTCGACAATGTTCTTTGGAAGCGGCAAAGACATTTTGTGATGGGCATGTTGAAAAAAGGGCTTTTTACCGGTAGTGGAGTTAGTAAGGTCCAGCTGAAAATTGTGTTTTAGCTGGCAGGACCAGCCAGACGACAAAAGTTAATCGAGCGAAAGTTTGTCCGCGCCGGACGGGAGGCAGTTGAATCACTTTTGGAAGCACAGCTGCTACACGTGGGAAATTGATGTTGGTCTTGCGGATGTGGCCACAGCGATGCCGGCAAGTGTTGCTTCTGATCCCATTGAGGAAGCTACTTCAGGCGTGATAGATTCCGGGCATGGGGGGCAAAATGACAACTCAGTCTTTGATCGTCACTTGGTGGGCGCGGTATCCGCGCGGATCAAGCAATTCTGGGTGCGCTCGAGCAGTCTCTTTTGATTGCCAAGCAGAAGTGCAAGAACAAGATCGGCAGGTTGAAGAGTTGACGCAATGCTTTGTTCCCTTTTTCTTGGAATCACAGCGTCGCTTCAAGTGGGGAGGATGTCCAGTTCATGAACGTTGCAGTTTGCAAGTGCACGTCACTCGCCCGGGTCGTGACATGGGATCCATTTGGCTTCGGTGTTCGAAGAATTTTTCCAATTCGTCGGCAGGCCGTTGTTTTTACAAAATACGAGTTTCCAAAGAGCTGCTCAAGCTTCTGCGTCAGCAACAAAGAGAAGAGTACGAGTCGTTGAAAATGGCTCTCGCAAGAGGAAGTAGAGATTGATAATTTCTAGCTTTCAGGAAAAAAGGTCCGGACCGAGCCAGAGATTGAGTTTATTGATTTAAAATACCTCGTGAATATATGAGTGTGTCCCTCTACATACGGTTCTCGTTTTTCCCCTCTCATGTGTGTTACAGTGGCCAGACTTGACTGTGAGTTGTTCACGCAGTGGGCTCAGGGGAAACAAGCTCACACTTTTTTCTGATCGAAAAGCTTTGTTCTAGAACATTGCAATGTCTAAAGATCGTGCAAAGTCTTACTCTTTGACACCGATGCAGCTGCTGCATATTCTCGTAGCTTATTTGTCCACGAATCACCCCAAGATACAGGACGTTGTTGAAAAGTGGCTCGTGTTTCAGCGATGGTCAGATTCTGTGGCCTCTTGTCAGTGTCTTCGTTCTTTGCAGCCTGCTGCTGTTGCTCACCGGCAAAGTGGAAGCTGATGCCACGTGCGTCCGCAAATGTCCTGTGAGTGTGCAAAACCGTCACTTGGCCGACGAAGTTTCCGCGTGGCAGTCATGTCACTCGAAAGAAAAATCCAAACACAAGTGGCTGGTCTTGCATGTTCGAGTGGGCGGTTTGGTCGAAAGAGGAGCAGATGGAAAAAGTTTGCTGAGCTTGCCGCACCGTCTTGTACGTCCAGGGGCAGTGCCTCCAACAGAAAGCATTGAAGACATCCGTCACTCTGGCCTTCTGACTTCGATTCAATAGAAGTCTGCGCGTGTGCATTCGGATGGCTGCAAGCTTGGGCGGCCGAATGCAAGAGGCTTGGGATCAAACACAAAGCTGTCAAGCTCAAGCGCTATGCCATGGAGTTTGTCCGCCACGATCCCAAGCCGGCCAAAGGTCAAAGCAAGTTGCTCGGGTGGGGCGAGTTGAAAAAGTTCCTGAGTCCAAGCGCCGCCGCGAAAAATGTGGAGAAAGATGTGAATCCACGTTTTCTCCAAAACGTACGGGCCTTTCAGTGGCGTTACAACGCCGGTGACCTGTGGACGCTGACGGGAAATCTGTGCCGAAAGCAGCGCTGGAAAAAAGTGGCTGGCCTTTTCATCCCTGGGCCACTCGTGAACTTTGCATGGGCGCAGCCACAAAAAAAAGAGAGCGGGGAACTGTGAGAGTTTTTTTTAAACTGTGTTTTTTAAAAAGTGTTTGGTATCATTTGATGCTCAAGATATGCAAAGATGCTTGCTTTCACTCTAGGGCAGAAGATACCACGCTACTCTAACATGGGGCCTGGGTTTTGGTTTTCCCAAAATTTTAGGTAAATGCTTCAGCGGTAGCCCCTCTCCATTTAAAAACATATATATAATCTATTCCTGCTCTCTCTATACGAACTTTTGGAAGCAGCAAGCAGTCATTCAGATGGTTTTGAACAAAATAATTAGGAAAGAAGCAGGCCATAAAAGTGTCTCTAGATCTTTTACATAGACGCTTTTATGTTACAAAAGATTCTCTATAGATCTCTGCAGATAATCATTTTTAGATTTAAACAACTATATAGAAACCTTGTATGTTAAAAGCTCTATTCTAGATTTCTGCGGGTAGAGCTCGCACTTTCAAAGTTTTCCTCTGGATCTCTGGGAAAGTAGATATCCCTTATATGTGTGTTTTCATGAAATGAAAGCTCTTGAAAGAAAAACATAATTATTGATATATATATATATATAGCATATTTCAAATGACATGACCATTTCCAGAGATCCAGGGGAAAGCTATTGAAATGAAAGCTTTTATCTATTTTTACTGTAGAAATGATCACCCCCAGAGATCTAGAGGGAAGCTCTTGAATTAGAAGCTTGTACATAAAACACGTTTAATATGTCTCTAGTATTTCCAGTGATTACTGTAAATAAACAAAATCT